TCAATACACACATACACATGTACGCATGTATATATACACATGAGTATATATACATGTACATGTATACGTATATATGTGCACATGCAATTTATTCATGTACAAGTAAATTTTGTGCCTATTAATTTTTAAACTGATAATTCATGCATATGTAAATATCACTGTATTTGTATTCACTTTATCAACTTTCTATTATTTTTTCTCTCTCCCTCCCCCCTCTCTCTTCCCTCTATTAGTTAAAGTGTGAGGTGTACTGGCCTCAGGAGATGAATGCCCAACAGTATGGTAACATATCTGTTAGTACACTAGATGAGAGCATTGAGCCTTCTTGCACTACCAGGAAGTTCATGGTGACACAAGCAAAGAAAGTGGTAAGAAACTATACTGATATTCTTCAATGTCTTTCCTTATTAGACCTCTCTATTATAGCTTGAAATTTTTGTGGGTCAATATTTTCGTGGTTTGTCCCTAGTGGGGCAATTAATTCGTAGTTTAAATTTTGTGGTTCATAGCCTGTAAGGGGATGCCTTCAATGATTTCGTGGGCAGCCCACAACCACGAAAACCATGAACTTTACATTCCGCGAAAATTTCAAGCTATACAGTATCATTTAACATATTCTATCTCTTACATGTACACCCATTCATTCTTATGTAGTATGGACATGTACTTGTTCATACAATCATCATAATCTTTGACTTATTCTTGTGCTTGTCCATTTTTTGTCTCCCTTTCTTTCTTTCTCCAATCTCCATCACTCACTACATGTACATTGTATGGATTTCCTAGCCTTATACCTTTAAAATTTTCAATCTCTCTCTATTCATTCTAGCTCTCCATTTTGTTATCATCTACCTTAAGGCCGCTATTATTTGCGAGTACTAATTTTTTGCGTTTTTTTGTGAGTGGCTTTAAAATTGCAAAAATTAGTACTTGCATTTATTAATAATTCACGTTTATTAACAGTTATTAATTGAAAAAATGAGCAAAATCGCAAAAAAAAAAAAAAAAAAAAAAAAAAAAAAAAAAAATTAGTACACGTTAAATTGGTACCATTAACAAATCGCAAAAATTTGTCTACTTAAAAATAAGTGGCTTTAAGGTATATCTATACCCTTTCTTTACCCTTCTCTTTCTCCTCATTCCCTAATAAAGCAGTAAGGACGTCTCATCAAGAGAGTGTACTCAGTATCATTTTACTGGCTGGCCTGATATGGGAGTACCCAACGACTCCGCTACTATGCTTAGATTTGTTAAAAGGATTCGCTCGTCGCTCACTAACGATAAACCGATTGTGGTCCACTGCAGGTAAAA